GCCTGGGCTACCAAGTGAGTTCCAGGAAAGGTGCAAAGCTACACAGAGAAACCCTGTCTCGAAAAACCAAAAAAAAAAAAAAAAAAAAAAAAAAAAAAAGTCTGTACTGTACTATCATGTCTGGCTGAAAGTTAAAAAAAAAAAAAGAAAGAGATTCCTATCAAGGTACTCTCACTTAACTATGCCCTCCCATTCCCTTCCTTCCTCCCTGACTCTCTCTGAGTCAGGGATTCAGTCTATAACCCTGGCTTGTCTAGAATTCACCGTGTAGCCCAGGCTGGGCTTGAACTTGTGGCAATCTCCTGCCTCTGCCACCAAGTGCTGGCATTGTGTGCTACCATGTCCAAGCCCCTTTCTTGAATATGTCTTGAACTTTGGGTCTCCGTGTTTGTGTTTGCATACCACGTTTCAGCAAAAATCTTTTAAAGTTAGTTTTGTAAGATTCTCCCACCCTTGATGATTCTCTTCATTTGGTCAAATTCCCTATTTGCCACTCTTCCCCAGGGGACATTCTCCTAGCTTTATCTGCTTTCTGCAGGAATCCTGTCGAGGATTATCCTTTTACAAGGATTATCCCTCTCCACGCTTCTTCAGTAACTTTTTATCTACAGACCCCCAACTCCTGTATGATATATATTTGGAATTGAGTTCATGTCTGTATTAAAATCTCCATTTTTCCTATTGCAGTTTCTCTTTTTATCGCCCAAATACTGTCTGGTTCTTTAAAAAAATCTACGAAAATGTACACTTTAAGCACTGTGATGTTGTTGCTTTGAAGATCTGAACCTGAAGAAACAGCAGCCCAGTGTAATGTAAGACGTTTGGAGTTCACATAACTCTAGTTTTGTTGTGCAGACAATATATTCCCTGAACCACATCCAAAAGGTGAGCAGTGGAAAGCTTTCCAGGAGTCTGCTTTAGCTACCAGCTCCCCTACCCTGGCTCTGGCTGGAGCCTCGTTCAGCCTCTGTTTCTTCTCATCTGGATCACTGTGAAGCATGCCGGTCAGTACTCGCCTAGATTCTTCCCATGCCTGCCACCTCCTCTCCCACAGTGCAGCCAGAGGAAGATTGTAAAACACAATTAAATATTCTTGTCCCCTTTCTCATTCAGAGTAAAACACAAAATTCTGGGAAAGCTTTGCAAGCTCTGTCTACTCCCTCCCCCTGTCAGCCGGTGGATGCAAAGTCCTCTTTCCTCAAGCTCTTTACCACACTGGCTGCCCTTTTCCCCCCAGGCCCATTGCTATTGCCTTTTCTAGTTGAAATGCTTTTGTTCCAGATATACCAGGATGGCTCAGACTCAATTATTTCATAGAAAGTTCCTCCCTGACCATGCTATGCAAACGAGCAATCCTCACCTGATCAGGGATTCTCTGAGTCTGACTGAGTCTTGGTGTGAACAAATGTTAATCAGGTGCCTGAATTTTTTCCAGGCCCATCTGTAGACATCTTTGTAAAAATCCAGTTTTATCAAGACTTGCTAAGTGGGTTTAGCATAAACAGCTTCCCCTCTGTTTACCAAGGCTCATCCCCAATGCCTAATCTTGTGAGTTTTGAAAAGTCCTTCTCATGTCTGCTCCACTGTACCCTTTCCAACTTTTATTGCTAAGGGAATAGTGGTACCATCAACTGAAGGAGACTTGGGAAAAGGAAAGGTTTTGCTGTTGCAAATAATAAATTAGAATTCAAATTTATTAAATTAAATGTACTGAGGAGTCAGCAGTTGGAAATATCCATGAAGGGTTGAACCTATGTATGGTACTTAGTAGGGATGTCAGAGCAATGAATGTGTATGTGCGATTCATTAGCTTGTGTTTGAGGAGGTAGTTAAAGCCACAGCCATGGATGAAATCATCCAGGAGGAGTACACAGAGGAAAAGGAGAATTTACCCATCAAGACAATCTGAACAAAGCAGAGACCAGCAACACAAATCTAGGAAGGTGCGATTTTTTTCATTATACCTCTTGTAATTCAAATTTCAAGAATAGCATAATGTCTTATATTATATAAACAAAAACAAAAACAAACAAATGGGAAAAACCCAACTCATAATGTAGGAGGAAATCTGGGAGAGATTTATTAGAAAGTTAAGAGAACAATGGATGAAGAATTAATGGTGTTTAGAGCTTCCAATGATACATAAAATAGAATTAAATCACATGGTTTATTGATTGACACACATAGTTACCAGAACAGCTTTCTTTGTGCTGCATCCTTACATAGCTTGGGTCCTAGAACCCTGACTATGGGCAACAATGGAATCAATGGAATGAAGAAATAACAGACCCTAAAGAAACAACAGATATAGGTACACAGAAAGTCTGAGATTGATGGCCTGAACTCTCTGATGGAAGCCCAGTGTGTTTATTATGTACAGCTGAACATGGAGGTGGGTTACTGCATCCATCTGAACAGGAGGTGGGGTTAATGGTGTATGGCTGAATAGGAGGCAGGTTTAGCTAATCTCACCAGGAGCAGTCTCTGCAGGGGGGCAGTCTTCAGGCTGTAAACATCCAGGAGGAGAAAGGTACAGTGGACATTTTCTGCACACACTGTCAGTCTGTCAGTCTCCCCTCATGGGCCAGAGGAAGAGTTGCCACCCCTCTGGGCCTTACCTAGGCTTTGTCACTTTCATGGGGCTGAGGATTTGGGGTCCTTGACATGACTGTGCTCACGTCAAATGATACATACTCTCTCAGGACTTCATATGCCCCCTACACGTTTATCCTTTGGTCTTATCATAATGATATGAATAAACTTAACAAGATTTTGTGAAAACTTGATAGGTGTCAGTGTGTCTCTCTGCCCAGGTACATTCCTCAAAAGCAAGTGATGCATAGCTGTCTTTTGGTTGTAAAAAGATGAAATACATGCTTAAGTAGTGTGTCTGTTTCTCTGTTTTTAACATTTATCTCTATTGGTTAATAACTTCTGTGGTCTCTGTGTGGGACCTTCCTTTTGGGGATAGATGGACCCATGTATAATGTGGTCAGGATTTTAGTGCCTAGGTCACTAATCAGTTGACTCTTAGTTAATAAAAGATACATCATCTCAGATGTGCTTGTCTTTTACAGGCGAGCCCTTCAAAAGAGGGACTGACTGGACTTTTCTGGAAAAAATTTTACTAGCCTTCAAGAATTATGTAAGCAGAGGTGGAGTTTTTCTTTCCTGACCACCTGGTCCCAAAGAAACATACAAAAGCATGTATTAATTAGAAAACGCTCAGCCGATGGCTCAGACTATCAGTGTTTTATTGAATCAATTCCAGTGACAAATCTTTACAGTGTGCAAGAGGAATATCCCACAGCAGAATTTAGTCTTCAAAGAAGAAGGTCACATGACAAGGACCCAAGGGTGGCTTCTGGAGAGGAGAGCAATTTGGGGCTGACAGCAAGTGAGTACCAGCTTCAGTCACACAACCGCAAGGAAATGAGTTCTGTCAATAGCTGAGAGGCTGGGAAAGAGCCCCATCTCGGATGAGATGGCAGCTCTGGCTGGCCGTTCAAGTTCAGCACAATGAGACACAGAGAGGATCCACGGAGGGCCAGATAAGACATTGTTGCAGCAATAGAAAACCAATAGGAGCCGGGCGGTGGTGGCACACGCCTTTAATCCCAGCACTCGGGAGGCAGAGCCAGGCGGATCTCTGTGAGTTCGAGGCCAGCCTGGGCTACCAAGTGAGTCCCAGGAAAGGCACAAAGCTACACAGAGAAACCCTGTCTCGAAAAACCAAAAAAAAAAAAAAAAAAAAAAAAAAAAACCAATAGGACTTTTACTTATCAACTAGAAAAATTTTTACTTATTTACTTATCTCAAATTAATATCCTTTCTCATATTACTCAAACATTATATTAGTTTTTGCTCTTCAAATGACTAATTTCCTTGCTTAATCATTCATGCTCTTATTTACTGTTTTTTTTTTTTTTTTTTTTTTTTTTTAAATTCAAGTCAGTATCCCCATTCCTGTTAGTGAGAAGTCGGGACATTAGCAACTCGACTCTGCTTTCTCTTCAGGTGCTACCGTGTTCTTGCTGTGAGAGTGTTTGCAGAGAAACCTGGCTCCAACTTGAGGAATGAGAGGGCACGGAATAACCCACTGAAGCAATTGCATGGTGAAAGTGCAGCACAGAGTACTGCTCAGAGTGCATCTTTATTAGGAAAACGTCCTTATGCAATGTGAGGTTCCTTGACATAGAGCGTATGTGTTTGCTGCTTGACAAAACTCGGCTGCCCTGGCCACGAAGCTATCACCTTCCCAGGAAAGGCCAAGGGAAATTATGTGTAGGAACTCTGTTTAGGTGATTAAGAGATAGCATTGGTTTAGGGGATGGCAGGAGATTCAGTAAAGCTTAATTTAACATCGGGAAGACACAGAGTTACAGAATCATCCAACTGGGACTCCCAATATCACCGGGTTTCCTGACCCTGTGCTTGTGGCTTTTGCTTCTCACCGGAAGAATTCTTTCCATGTGTTATGGAGAATATAACACACATAGTGATGATGTTCAACGTTTCTTAATATGTTGGGCTGGGATATCTTCATTTATTTGTTTTTAAGTAAGCATACAAGGTAACAGATTTCTTCAAGGGTTTTAAATTTAATTGAATTGAAATTTACGTAAGTGTTTTGCTTGCATGTATGTATGTATGTATGTATGTGTAACATATGCATGCCTGGTGCCCAAGGCAGCCAGAAGAGGGAATTGGATCTCCCTGGGACTGGAGTTATGGATATCTTGAGCCACAAGCACAGGGTCAGGTGCTGGGAACCAAGCCATAGTCCTCTGCAAAAACAAGTGTTCTGTAATTGAAAGTTTTCCTCTGCCCACCTGGCTCCTGCGTCCTTGTGGTCCCGCAGCCGCTCAGACCCAAATGGACACACAGAGGCTTATATTAATTATGAGCTGTATGGCCTATTGGCTCAGGCTTCTCACTAGCTAGGTCTTACATCTTAAATTAACCCATTTCTATAAATCTACACTTTGCCATGTGGCTCGTGGCTTACCGGTATCTTTACATCTTGCTTCTCATGGCAGCAGCTGACAGCGTCTCCTCTGTTCTGCCTTTCTCCTTCCTCTGCTCTAGTTAGACTGTCCCGCCTAACCCTATTCTGCCTCACCATTGGCCAAACAGCTTTATTTATCAACCAATCAGAGCAACATATTTTACTGCCTACAGAACGACATCATCCATCAGTGTTCCCTACTGATGGGCCGTTTCTCTAGCTCCTCCTTACAGCATTTCACACCCACTTCATCTCTATTCCTCTCCCTCTTTCTCTGGTCATTCTTCTGCCCACTTCTTGATGACAGATCCACAAAGGACTAGGAAAATTGTTAGGAAGGATGCCAGACACAGAAACAAAATTCTGAGAAGCACATGCTGTCTAAAACAAGGAGAGGCTAGGCCTTTTATGTCCTAGAAAAGGTTTGCCCAAAAAGGGAGATGGATGTGTATGATTTCTGAGATGTTCAAATACCATGTCTCTGAAATTCTTCTTTCTGTTTTCCAAGGCTCCTGTCAAGCCAGAAGATGAAGACTGACTGTACAGATAGGGTTAGTCATCAGAATCTAGTGGAGACCGAGCAAGCTGACATCATCTGTAGAGGGACCCTCCCTCTGGCGTATATGCTAGGTCAGCTGTTCTTTGGAATGCTGCTGACACAAGGGGAAAGTGGGCTAGTGAGCTGATGACATCATTGCGTATAATTTATATGGAATAGTTTAGCAACATGGAACTCCTCTTGGTTTGGGCTGCTAATGAGGCCCTTGACAGCCTCTTAGCAACCTGGGACCACCACCTGTTTCAGCTGCACGCATGCTTGCTTTAAACAATGGAAACAAACACACAAGCCTGTCAATCAAAATAGAGAACCACTCACACTATACCCTCTGTCAACTAAACTCCTCCTCCTCTTGAATCCCGCAAGAGGAAACCTGAGGCAATAATTCGGGTCCCTTAAGTGCCCGTTCATTCTTGTGATCCACTGTAGCTCTTGACAGTATATTTTTTCCTGCTCTATGAGAACGTTTTGCTTTTGAATAAAGTTCCCTGCTCGTTTGTGACCTGTGTGAGCACTTATTTCAGTTCCTTGAGTAAGTGGCTAAAATCCTGAAAAAGCCTAGCCCAGTCCCTGACCGCCGGTAACAGCTGCGTGTGCCATCAACTTACAAAGGCCCCTTTCTGCAGAAAGCGCTCTAGAGTTAAGTGCCACTTGTCCAGTTGGCCTGTGCTGGCTCCGGGGGGAAGTTCATTGCCACTGTAGCCTGCCTGTTAGTAAGTTTATCTCCCTACTGGTGTTTCTGTTCGGTAAGTTCCCATAAACCCTGTGCTTCGTGCGTAGTCTCCTTGCATTATCTTCCTTTTCTCAGGAACCCATCCCATTGCCCTAGTGTTCGGGGCTGTGGTCTCTACCAGGGGGAAGGAAGTAGTCATCAAGTACTGAGGTGAGGCTGGACCTCAAAACACCACAGTTAGCTGTTCCTGATCAGAAAAGCACCTCTGAGTGTTACCTGGCTATGTAGGTAACATTCCAGAAAGTGGTGAAGGGAGATGGGAAAAGATTTCAAAGTACTTTTGCTTGCCTATGAAGTGTTTTTCTATCTTGTTTGGTGAATTTCAGGTTGTGCCTAAAATATTATTTATCTTATTGTGCCTACATAGTAAAACTTCACCATCCCTGATTACATAATATAGGAATTGGCATCTTTTTTAAAAAAAATTTTATTTTATTGACAGTTTTTCATTAATTTTTCATATCAACCATAGTTTCTCCTCCCTCCTCTCCTGTTCCCCCTCCCACTTACTCCCCCCCACTTCTCCTTCTCCATCTCTATTCAGAAAGGGGCAGGCCTCTCATGGGCTTGAACAAAGCATGGCAATCAAGTCCAGGCAGATCAGAGATCCTCCCCTGTATTAAGGCTGGGTGAGGTTGTCCATCAGGGGGAACAGTTTTGGGCTCTGTTTTTTTTTTTTTTTTTTTAATTAAAAATGGCTTTTCTTTTTCTTCCTCCAAACCCTCCCATAACCCCTCCTTGGTCTTTT